CTGGTGGCCTGGATTTGCTGGCAGATTGTACCAGGCCACTGGGACATCTATGGTTCCAATTCGGAGTATGTTCTCACAAAAACCGCCTTCCTGTTGGCACGTGATCCATTTCGGACGCTTGTCTAGCGCGATGAGGCATATGTGTGATGATGATGATCGTCTGCAGTCTTTCAGTCTATCTACCCTGCTCCAATGAGATGACAAACCTTGATTTTTTAGAGAGGAACAAATAATTCAAGGAACCCAAGGTCGGCACGCTGTCTCCAAATAGATTAATCTAATTATTTGAATAGCATTCAACCACGCATTGACGATCATTCACACTACCAACCTGAATGAAGTTTGGTCCTCTTGGCTCTATGACCAGCGATTTGGGATCAAGACTACAAGTGAAGCAACCAAATACGCACATATTGTTTTCGTTTCGCCTGAACGTTATCCCACGGGTCTATAGCGCTTCCCGTTCAGGCAGTGAAATTATTTCCAGTACGGAGAATTCGCGTTACAGAGAGAAACTCAGCCACGGGTGGCATCTTGTTATTACCTGACTGTATCGGGTGAACGTAGAGAAATCAGTCACGTTACACTTTGGTCAAGAGATCCATGCTATTACCCTGCAGTATGTCACATGGGACTTTTCAAGTGAAGTGATTATGGATCTGGTTAAACTCGAACGCAACATTGGACCTTGAGTGGGAGTATTTCATCAACGAGCTGAGTCAACTGTCCCTCCGGCTGAGGTCAGTTGATACCACCACTCAACGCAAACATCATGTAGAATATCTTAACCGCTACACTTCCCTTGGGCACAGCTCGCTGTGTTGTTGGGCAAACCAGACGGGACAATGTTAGTTTTAACTATGACTGTCACATGTCGTGTCACGTGCAAATCAGATCAACACTTTTGTCAAAGATGTGTGGATGTTTCCCAGTGTGTGGTTGTATCCCGACAATACCAGTGGATATCAATGCACCGCATGTGCGTAACTCAGGTTGATGGACAATCAGTGGTTTCATAAAACCGAGTCGACTGTGGGTGTCTGGACCACGGACATCGATCTACTTTATGCGATCCGTCTTTTCGACACGTCGGTGCTTTTCGGAAATTTCAAATGAAACTTGTCATATTATTTCAGACGTTGAGCTGATGCCATTTCGTCCTCTAATGCTCCAAATAGAATACATGTCATCCTACTGTTACTTATTCGTCCAAACACCAGGGCACTTTTTTACTTGTTTTCCAACTCCAAATTGAGTTTATGGTCTAACACTCAGTGAGGAAATCCCAAAAGCTCTGGTTCCATGATCCCCTAATTAAACTTACTTTGTCATGGGTGTTGGATCGCACCTGTGGGACATCGACGTACTCAGGTTCCTTATTTAGGCCACCAAACCAAGCACAACACGTGTGCGCCACATCTTTGATAACACATGTTAGTCCTTTATTTATAGGGAAAACTTTTATGCATGCAAACGGCAAGGACTACAGCGTTGGATACAATTGATCTTAGTGATATCTATCTGGAGAAAAAGTTAAGGATTCAGAGCGCACTATAGAGGTGTTTAAGTGGCTAACTTTTCCCAGTAGAGCTAATCTTTCCCCTCTATATTGTGCTCCCCGAATATAAGTGGTTACACAGTGAGGATGAGCAAAGAGCAAGGATTCTTTTCTGAGCTACTGCTGCCTCAGGATCACAAATCCACTAAAATTCCATAGAGATTGCCCTCCTGTCGCACTTCTTCAGCCCACTTGGACGACAGGATTTACAGATAATCTGTCCACATTACTGTCGCCCTAACATGGTTAATCTTGTGCTGAAGCGAGCATTGACCAAATACGCACCAATAGGTAAGCATTCTACCCGATTTCACCCTTGTTGGGACCCACTAACAGTGTACCGGGGGTTGAACTCCGGTCGTTTGCCATGTCGGATGAGCTTGTTGCGACTAAATCAGCCCACACTGCGCACACTTGAAGTATCACGCTTCAAAAAACGAGTATGTTCATTTTTAGTCTGCGGCTGGTCCAACGATTCGAGGGACGACCTAGTAACTTTCATGGTTGTGTCTATCTCGGCCTGCCTGCTAGGACTTCCAGATCGGGTGACGCGACGGACGGCTTGCCGGATAGTTTTTAATTACTCGTGAGCAGCTGAGGTATTTGTGCTGTTTTGTAGCTAATTTATACGCGCCCCATCAGGCATCATTCCTTACCCATTCCCAATGATGAATCCGACTAGGATGAAAACCGAGTACCTCTGAGGAGGACGATTACTGACGGGGTGGCTGGTCTTGGGAGGGATATCATTCATGTCATGAATGAGGTAGGTAGCGACGCGAAGCCCAGAACACCTTACCGTGCAACACGACCAGTCAACTAATTGTCTCAGTACTTCTCAGTGTACAGTTTAAGGTCGACGCAAGCCAGGGTCATCCAATCAACAGGCTTCGTTTGTTTTAGTCAGCACTGCGGCTACACCATCAGGACAAACAAATAACGGCCACCTGATATAGGCTGTTGAACAACAATCAGGAGCCGAACCGGACACAATCCGGAGAATTCGAACAACCAATGTAGGCTCCGGAACTGCGTCCAGGAAGATTGTAAGCTAACAAAAACCCGGTGATTTTGCTCAATAAAAGGAGCTTCCAGGGACGAATGGAAGCGATTTCTTGATCGATTTTCGGGATCACGGCAAGTATGGTTCACTTTTGTTGTATGATGGCGCACAGGCACGCATTAGAGCACGGAACAGTGAGTGGAACTATCAAAATCTACTTCCACTTGTGTGTATGGGCTATTCCCATACTTGCTAAAATACTGTGATCGCTTTTCCTTTTAAAGCTTTATGCAGAGTTGTACAGGATGATTTTTGTTTGAGGTCCCATGTTATCCGGCAGTGTGCCTGTGTGCACTAAAAGTGCCTTCATGGAACAGACCTTTTTAGGAACGGGTTTGGCGCTGTGACGATGTTCCTGACAGAGACAGTAAGTACTCAATAGCTTATTGAAGCGTAATCCTGTTTCCCCCTAACAGGTTTTTTTCCTGAGTTGGAAAGTTTTGGTGAGTAAGAACAACATCCTGATAACTAGTTTTCCGTCTTACGTAGAGGACAGAAACATTGAACAATGTTTGTTTGTTTCGTCCCATTTTCGTCCATAATTTGTTTGTTCATGCTACTATGTTTCATTGTGATATACAGTTTTACCACAATCGGGCGGTTTTATAACGGAAAGCCCCTTCATGTATGACATTATCATTTTTGACTTTAGTATCATTTAACCCGGATAAAGATGAAGAAATGAAAGGCCATTTTCCCGGAGAGAGAGCTTATCTAACATCTTTGACAACGCACTGCAATTGGCGTAGCACGTTGGAGCTCGAGAAACTTCAGACGCAAGCCTCTTTAAACCCAAGGCCGATGGATAGTTCTGTCGTCCATGTTTGGATAAACTGGAGGTATCTTATTTCCTGTATGTCCTTCGTTGTTGACGAAGAAAGGATTATATCCTCTCCGGAGAAGTAGCCTCCATTCGATGGATTTTTTCAAGGGCGAACCAGTGATTTTATGACAGTCTGTTTACACAAGAGAATTCCCAACTCATTTTCCACTTACTATTCCGTTGCTCAATTTCACAGTGCAATTTCACCCACGAATATTGGGGAACTCAATCATGTTGTGTTTCAGTACCACGCCCCCTACTTTAGTTCTGAAAGACTACCGGTCCTACCCGGTATGATTCCTGTCAGAAAGGAAATCTATCGCTCACCAATCTACTGCTCACCAAATAGCATGTTCTGTTCAGGTTCAAGCAATTATCGGGCTTACTTGCGGGTCATCACTGTCCCGTTTTTACGTTTTTTCGTATTTGCCGCATGAATGGTTTTTGTATACGTGATGATTTTGTGCTAGACTTTACAGGAAAGCTTGGAAAGCATCCTCGGTCTGCCTTAACTTTAACATAGGAGGCGCACTTGCTTTGCCGTGTTCTTGAGCTTGTTTGTATAGGGGTAACGAGAGTTTAACCAACCGGTCGTGGATCTCGATGCATCCCACAAATTCAGGTTTTCTGTGATTGCTATACAAGCCTGTTTGTCTCGTTGCTGCTCTTAGTAAGCCTCATAGTCGCACATCGGGCTTTATGTATTCACAATACCCCCAAGAACATGTAAATTAAGGTGGGGACATGACCTTGAGCTTTCAGTTCAGTACAGTAATATTTCAACTCTACCTGCCTGGCCAATACCAATCTATGCACCGTATCACGGAGAGGAGCTTGTATCCGTACCTAGCTCTGAGCGGATCAGACACTAAGTAGAAGGTTCACCGGAGGTTTACAATATCTGGTGTTCCTACCGATTCATGAGGCGCACATTGATGATGATTCTCAAAAATGGTCAACCAGATACCCTCCCCGATAAAGTATCAGGTTGTCGTCGTCACCAGTATTAACGGAAATAACAATATGAAAACACTGATTGCCCGCGGAGGTGCTCCGATGATGGTGGTGGTTGAACTCCCGGCTATCTCGTGGAGGTTTGTTACCGTCTGACCATAATATGTGAGGTTCTAGTGGTATAGCCCGTCGCCAAAAGTGAATCTAGAAATAATTATTAATATGTAACAGCGAAAGCTTGCTGCCAAACGCGGTTCTGTGTTCCAAGGCAATCGAATTTCATGGCCAAGATGTGATTTGTTTGTATTTATCACTAAGACTTACCCACCTCGTGGTTTTCTGATCAAGCCAGTGGTCTGGTTTGAGTACCGATAACTGTCGAAACCTGCATGGAGAGCAGAACGATGCGCTATTTACTATAACTGGTTTATGACACGTTACACCAGTGTTAGTACCCTTAAAAAGGCAGTCAAATTATCATCGTCCATTGTTAGGCTCTTGAAAAACTTCCATGCTGTCCACGAGTTGCTACACACGTTTTGCCCCACCTTGTGTTTGTCCGGTTCGTCTTATTCTTGCTTTTTGATCCATTCTCCCCGTAGGCGTTGGACGATTGAAAAATGTTCAGGAAGGACTTTCTGAGTTCTGTTCATCCGATGCCACTTTCGCTCGGCAGTCCTTTCCTGCGTTATCTACCCAAACATCGCATGCTTTAAATCCAGACATAACCCATCGCCCCCGGGTGGACGAATGGAGCGGAACAACTACCAGCTTATATAGGTACCGAGACAAGCAGATCAATCGTCAGACTGATTACAGTTTCTACTCGACTGGGGCGAGTGCAAGAAGATCATCAGAGGACTCCCAAGAAGACGCTGAATCTGTCCATACTCCTCCAATGACTGCACTTGGCGATGCGCCTAAGGACACTCCTTTGTCGCCCACGACCTCAACCGATTTGAAGAAATACTTGACGGTTCCACTTGCGACACTGAGATATATTCAGTCCGCCATATCGAAACCCGGCGGTTTGCTAGAGAAAGCTGGAAAAGAGAAAGCTCTAAAGGCAAGTAAGAAACGCTGTGCCTAATGGCCAGTACTAGCTAGACAAAACTTGGCTTCATGAGTTTGGTTTACAAAGCCGGACATATGAACAGTAGCATTTTTGCGTATATTTAGTTTAGTTTAAAATTTTGTTTACCCCTTTGCTAGCCGATGGTACGGCTCGGGACACAAACTGCCACATACAACTAGTGCAGGTCAATTGCCAAACTCGGCGAACAGATCAACAACCAATAAACTCACCTGAGCTACCAATACTTCGACACACTACTAATGAGGGAACGTTTTGCAAACCCCAACATCAGTTTTGTGAAAGGACATCCCGTTTCGCATGAACGGAATTCCATTTTGACCACACAAAAATAGTTCAGCACTGTACGGTCTTCCGTCTAAATTCTTTGGACAACCAACTATAAGCGTCTTTTCGCACCCTAATTACGACAGGCACTGAATCCACTCACGTGGATAGCCGAAACCAACGAGTGGTTAGGACGACTGAACCAAGTCACACCCAGCAGGCGCAGAATGGTTTTGGATGAACTCGGATTTATTTTTTACGGAATCGAAATGCCCCTCTTCGTAAACTGAAAGATAAGTTTGCTTCATACCAACAGACATGCAGAAACTGTGTCCTCATCAACCACTGAGTTATGTGTAAACAGGCTAGTTACGTGGCCATACCAGTTTTGTGACGTAGATTGTACGGTAAGTTGTTGGTGTGGTGTAGTTTATCTGTCTAACGATCTTCCCTATAACCGCACACTACAATGCAGTCGGACAGCTGTCTTTTGGTTACAAGAGACAGTGTTCGTATTTTCCAGAGACAGCCACTTCTCTAAAATTGTCAGTTATACCTAACTTTTGGCAGTGTTGTTGAAGAGGGAGTACTCAGTACATTTAGATATTGGTCTTAGCAAGCTTGTTATTGACATAGCAACAGAACTGTCGCGTGCCTCAAATCCGGCTATACTCCCCCGCGCTGCCACTTTCTGTTAATCAAAACTGTAGTAGCTGGAAACAACTTACTCCTGATATATGGCTTATAGCTGACTGACTGATTCTTGTGGGACCTGTTTTCGCCTCCCAACAGAAGTCATCGTCTAAAGTCGCACAATTAAACGGCTTAAACCTGTGCCTCGCTGGCGCATGCTGTTGAGGTTAGGAGACTGGAATTCGGACCTGAACACCCGACGACCGGTCGTGGTACATCCACTTGGTGACCCTCACTCAGGGTTAAGGTCCAAGTTACTACCGTGGTAATGAACACCACGAGGAAGTTATGTCACTGCTTCAGTAGTAACAATCCATCGGCATCCACTATTTACCTTATCATACTGTTCACACCGTCTTGTCTGCTTTACCTGGGAACTATTCGGTGGGGTTTTAACCCCGTCTCTAAATCATTTGGAGCATTCTTTACATGATTGTTCCGTATTCGAATAGCAGCATGGTAATGATGGTCACGTGTGCGTAGTCCTTGATGTTACGGAACTATGCTGTGAACATCAAACTTATTGACGGTCACGCTCATAGCTTCCCGAAACAGACCCTGCTAAATCATGTTGCGAGCCTTGTGTACACAGGGTCACGTGCCATTTCCATGATCTGCCTAGTCTAACTCTGTTGTCGTACAGATGCACTGATATACTTCGATGTGTTTTGGATTCCGTTTTGGGTGTGTTGTACTTGTTCGTCTTGTCAATCGAATGTTAGTGCGCCAACAAGAATCACTTTTGAGAAAATTCCAGTCATTTCCATGTACTTGAAGCTAAATTCTTTATCTGTAGCTCAGAAGTAGGCGTCCTTATGACAAAGGGTGGTTCCAATAGACAGTCAGTTTTGGCAACCGATTATTCGTTTTCCAGTGTCCCTTCAAATCACATGCGTTTGATATAGTGCTTGGATATCTTGTTATGCAAGATATTCACTATTGGCATCGTAATGGCTTGTACGCTACTGCTTGGAGTTGCACGCATGTAGTATGACCGAAGATGAAAAATTTAACTCCTAGCTACGTGATCATGTGGAATCGTGAAAAGGCAGCGACTCACGACTGAACAGTTATCTCGATTCCGCCGAATCACAGCGTTTCGACAACGTAGGGCTAGAACGAGGAAAACCGTCGCGACAAGTTGACATTTCTCGAGTGGACCCAAAAACTCAGACAACCGATAATCCCGTGGGTGGCAGTGTTTCAGACGCCTAGAGCAAAGCAAATCAGCATGTTTTTCAGTTGTTATGATCGATTAAACCTACGACCATCGGTCTCATTGAGAAATGCATCAAGCTCACTGTTTGGTGAATTCCAAAGTGGTACTCATTTGTGGCCAAGCAATCAGTATGAATCTGGTCGCTTCATTCGTTTTCTATCTGAAATTTCGTCCGAACTTCTGACTGGTTGCTGTGATGATGCGAAAATTAATGATTTTGTGTTCGCTGTCTGGGTTCACAACTGGAATTGCGGAACACGCCATCACTGTCAGGTTTGCAAAACCGAACACACCATAATCCTTATCGGTCCAATCTTGTTGAACCATATTTTTATTGCAATTTCGCCGTCCGTGAGACCGCTTTTGCATTTTACCTACCCCCCTTGATAACACAGAACGGCCGTTTTTGGATCTTGACTTGGTGACACTATAGTTCACCCCGAATTACATAACTCTATCTGTATCTGTCACCGCGACTTTGGTCCAACAAATTTTTGTTCTCTTAGCCACCAACCACAGTTACTGGCAACGTGTTGCTACCTCTTTCGGTCGTACCCAATATCCAGTGCAATATATGTTAGAACGAAGTAAGGGGGTTGTGTTAGTACATGTTTTCGCGCAACCCCCCCCCCCAGTCAAATGCTGATACAACACGGCACCATGCTGAATTCTGTTCCGCCGTTCGAAGAGATACAAGCTATTTCGGATTTCGGCCGCTGAATTAGTCATTTATACTGTAACTTTTCTGTTGTGTGTCATATCAAAAGCGTAATACGGCTCATCTAACCCGCTTTATTCGGTCCTTTCAACTCAATTCACCGTGTGTTTCCTCATTCGAAATTCATTGACAGCCTAAGAGCTACGCAAGAAATTTTCGTAGATGTCCTCTAACTCAGGATACAAGTAGTGGATGCAAAGTTCACGTTCACGAAATGTGTGAGAAGTGCTATACTAGACTGTGGATTCGAAACACTTTACTCTTTATTAACAAGTATGAGCTGAATTTCAACCTGAATAGTGTTCATTCTGTGCGCACTTCAAGCTGCACTGGAATCACTTACAGTGTGGATAACAGCTATGCGCAATATTCATTCTGGCCGGTATTCGTGAACAACAGCAAAGCGTGATCTGTTGCTTCACCTTACTGTCTGATGATAGCGGATTTTCTACCCTGGCCATTTGTATATCTGGTCGGGTTAGCTAGTTTTGTAATGAATAAGGTGTTTTTCCGAAGACTTGCTATGCTATTGCAACTTTTTTGTTTTACAGGCCCTGAACACGTGTGACGAAATTCTGTGCCTAGCAGACACTAAAGTGTCTAAGGATGAGGCTGAACCTTTATTTCGTGAAATGTGTAGCGCAGTGCTTGGTGCACTTCAGGGATTTCTTAATAATGAAGCAGGCATGAGCGATGAACCGTGGGCTGCCTGTCCGAAGCAGGACATCGTGGGAAGAAACCAGACAGAAGCCACTCCACCATCGACGCCAAATACGATTGAGGAAACCCAGCTCCAAGCACAAAGGATAGTCCTAGTCCCACGCACCCGGCTTCATAGCTCTGCGCTTTCAGACCAACGAAGCACAAGCCAGGTGCTCCATGGAACGAACCGTCATCTCACTTTCCGATTTACTCAAATACTCAATCGCGTAAGTCAATCATGGTCACCCTTGTGGTCGCTCTTATTTGCTTTGGTTCTTACACCATCTAGGAAACACGGTCATTTTCTTGGTATTTGCTTAACATCCAGGGAAGACTTGTAGAGATATTTTGTTTAATTACGTTGCCTAACTGTCTGATTTGCTTGTAGTGATTATGGTACACTAGCGCAACGGGAAAATTTCTGGCTACTCTAGATGGACATGCGGTTTGTGACCAGCCCAACTGATTTTCATACGGATCCCTAAATCTCATCTGGTCAAGTATCAGTGTTCGTGAGCAGTTTTTTATACTTGCTTATCTGGCCTGCAAACAGCTACGTCGTTATAGGTTGGAAAATACGAGTGAGATCGGTTCGCATAATGTTCAGTCTTTCTGTTATATTGTGCGCGGTGGCCGAGCTATGGGGTTATGCCTGCACTGTGCCTGCCGGACTACGCGATAGGGAGAAGACAGAGAACTGTGGGCACGGCTGTATTGCCAGGACGAAACGTACCGAGCGTCTGCGTAAATATATAGGATGACTAAACGGCCAAATATGGTCGTTCACTTGTTCGCTCCATACAGCCAATGGTGGTGTTCCGGTCGTGAACACTCTCAGGCCCACTACACTGGTCGTGTGTTGCTAGGCCGTGTTTGGTGGGAGCCGCCGGCTCACCTACTTTCCGGACGTGTCGAACCGATGGTGACCTTGGGGATGCGTCACTCTGTGCACATGTGCTTTTTCTTCTGTCTGGGCGCGCCCTGACAGTTTCATTGGGGTTTTTCATGTGGGCGTAGATTATACCGATCATGTGACCCTTTAGCTAGCTATTAAACGCTACTGGCCACCAACTGCATCGCTGGAGCTGATGAAGTAAATCGAAAATGTTTGCTCTAGACGGTTGTTGACTTAGGCAAGAATGGGATCTCATAGTTTAAAACATGCATTGCTTCTTGTAAATGAAGTTTATCCAAGCTGAAAAGCCAAGGAGTATCATGCAGCGGTTCAATGCCTATCGAGGGCGGTTATTGGTGTTGATCTCACGAATCTCTGGAGAGGTTTGAACCGGCAACCTTCTGGGTAGTAACCGAACATAATATCCTTTACTTACAAGTGGCTGGTCAGTAGTGTGCTCAACTTGCACTTGAACAGGATACACTGCCACTATCCTTCACCCACACAGTCCGCTTCAGGTGATCGGATGTTCGCTGGCTCCTCAAGTGATGATCATATGACTTGATTCGTGAGTAGTCAGATTGTTGCCACTGAATAATCAGCGTTCCTGCCGAATACCAAGCTGTTGGCTTGGAATTTGACCGGATGTTTAGACTGTGTGTGACAAGTCGGATCTGAGCTGTTGTTCCACAGGCGTCTACACAGCTAACGGTCCAGAACGGAATTCAGCCAGTATGTATCACCGCGGAGTGAAGAAGCTCATACTGTCAGGTGTCTTACTTCCACAAACTGAAACAGGAAAACCATTTGGTATCGAAATTTTGGTAACAGTTCACACTTTATAAGCATTCCACTGGAACAAAGTCCACCAATGGTCTTACTTAAGGTGTTTCTTTTTGAGGAACCACTTTACGGCCATACAAACGACTAAAAAAATGTGCCCATAGTTGGTACTATCGCTATTTCGATGAACAGATATAAGAACTGTTTTTTACTCACAACTACATCGGCGTCCTTTCTGACTACATTAGCTTCCTCGCTTGTTTCTGTTCTCGCCGTGCGTTTACCGGAGGGCGCTCACGCGGCTCCCTGTCGAAACTCCTACTTGAGGCACGCGCTGGACATCGCTTGTCGTGCATACCCGTCCACTCCACCTTATCACCTTAATTTGGCGCTTCTCCAGCGCATATTGACCTGATCAGTATAGTAATAGCACTAAACCAACTTGTGGTGACAGTGCGAAACAGCCGAGTTGATCCATTAATTATTGACTTCATCAACCGTAGTAAATCTCTTCCACAGCCCTCAATCACCACAATCACTTTTTAAATTCTTTTGACTGGCGAGAGTCAGTTCGAGCCTTCGGAACACTATCCGACATATTTTTTGTTGGTGGAGTGGTTTGTCAGTTTCATAGTGGACACATCATGGCGTGCATGTGCCTAGTATACCGCATAGGAAATATCATGCTCAAGTCCCCGGAGAATCCAATATTCTGGTTAAAACATCCGAGTCTCTCCTCACTCAGATGGGATTGTTGGCTTCTCAGAAAATGTTTTCGGACCAATTTTCGACAGATGTCAGTAGGACAGGCAATATCTCCGTTATATATCAGCAAACGGGCGCTGCTTCATTNTATCTCCGTTATATATCAGCAAACGGGCGCTGCTTCATTGACTTTATTTGCTGTGAATGGACAAAGTAAGCCAACGAAGACCACAACATTGTGATCAGTTCATGGTTATCCACTTACGGCACCTGCTTTTTTACGGTTTATTTCGTTCTATGTAACTTTGTTGGGTGTATGGTAGGTGCGATAAGAAGTATTCAAATTCGTTCTTAGAGCATAGAGAAGTCACCAACGGGAGTCTACCGATAGGACTCACCTGCTGAAACTCTGTTTCCAGGTGAATGTAAAAGCTATGAACATCAAATATATAATTAGGGAGTGGGTAACCGACCTTTTCCAAATAGATATAACAAGGTCAAACACCACTTGATAGACAAGCACGTTAGGTCCCCCCCCAGGGCGATCATTAGGTTCTTACTCCACACTTTTCTTCCCACTGTATTGTGGATCAGAGTTTTGAGTCAAAGGCTCAGGTTAGGGTATCTCAACGGAACTTGCTCCTTCGAACTGAGCAACCAGGAGGTAACATTTGCTCAAAAATGCTTGGGAGCAGCGGTT